ATCTGAGTCTAATAGTGGTTCTGCAGATCGTAGAAGACAGGAAAGATTAAATTGATGTCAAAACCACAAAAAGATATCATTTCACACCCTCTAGAATGGCCATAATCAAAAAGACAGATAATATCAAGTGTTGATGAGGCTGTGGAGAAATTGGAATCCTCATATACTGCTGGTGGGAATGTAAAATGGTGCAGTTGCTACGGAAAACAGTTTAGTGTTTCCTCAAAAAGTAGAACGTAGAGTTACCGAATGGTCCAGAAGTTCCACTCTTAGGTATGTACCCAAGAGAAATGAAAACATGTGTGCACAAAACCTTGCACATGAATGTTCATAGCAGCATTATTTACAATAGCCAAAAAGTGGAAACAACCCAAATATTCATTAACAGATGAATGGATAAACAAAATGTGTCGATCCACACAGGGAGTATTATTCAGCCACAGAGAGGAATGGAATACTGATACACGCTACAACATGGGTGAACTTTGAAAATATTATGTAGAGAAAAAAGCCAGACACCAAATGCCGCATGTTCTGTGATCCCATTTACATGAAATGTCCAGAATAGGTAAATCCATAGAGGGAAATTAGGTTAGTGGTTGCCTAGAGCTGGGTGTTTGGAGGGAAGTGAAACCCTCTAACTGGTACAGGGTTTCTTTTGGGGTGATGAAAATTTTCTAAAATTGATTGTGGTGATGGTTACACAACTCTGTGAATATACTAAAAACTGTTTAATTTATGCACTTTAAATAGGTGAATTGTATGGTATGCAATATTTGATTATATGGTATATGGTACTATATATATATGGTATACAATATATATATGACGTTTCCCTTATGTTAAATCATCTTTCCTTGTAACAATCTGGAGATACATATATATGTGTAATCTCAGAGTTCATAGAAAAAAAGATCAACTTACTTGGTGGTAGGTTGCTTTTTAAATTTTCATTGTAGCACTCATCTGTATTTATATTTACCTCAGCTTCCTAGATAATTGCTTTTGAGAATAAAGTGGCTACCCACTGGAGCTTTAGACAAATGGTGAGCACGTTCATCTCTTTGGTCTCCACTCTTAGGACCGGTGCTCGGAGCTGCCATTCAGTGTGGCAAAGCCCTCACCCACCTCACCCGCCACCCCATCCGTATCCTGAAGGGGGGCTACGAGCGCTTCTCGGCCATGTACCACTTCTTCCGGACACAGAAGATCATCTGGATGCCACAGGTAAGGCAGGGTGCTGAGCGCAGGCAGGCTCAGATGGGAGCATGGGCTTCCCCTGGGGACGGAGCACTGGGGAGCAGGGTAGGAGAGAGAGGAGAAGGAGGCAGGCAGCATGGAAAAGATGGAAGACATGTCGAAGCCTGTGCTTGGGAAATGAACTTGGGGCAGCCAGGAGGTCTGGTCCAGTATGATGAATTTATCATCGCCAGATTCAGGCAAAAGCCAGCGTGGCGTTTGGACCCTGTTTAGAGGGCAAAGATCCCAGGGGGAGTTCTGGATGGTGGGCTGTAGTCACAGTTGGACAGGCAGGAGCGTCATGATTCGAGGCTGCCTCTCCATTCCTGGCTCTCTGGTCCCACGAACCCTGGCTGGGTCCAGAGAATACAAAAAAGGGTGAGACAGCGGTGCCTCCCTATGAGGACTTCTTGTCTAGTAGTGGAGACAAGGGCCGCCCCAGGTGTCTGGAGCCCAGAGGAGAGCCCCTTCCTTCCTAGAGCCAAACCTGAGGAGGAGGAGCTCGTGAGGAAGAGAATGGGGGGAGGGCATAGAAGGAAAGCATTGGGTGGCCATGATGGGCAGGCAGGGACCGGTCCCTGGTGTATTGAAGAGTCTGAATGCAGTGGAATGTGAACATGCAGGGGTTCGTTCTTTCCAACAACTGCCTTCAGCTGTGCTCTCATTCCTGCTCTTAGCAATACCTTAGGCAGATTCCATACTTTCTGGCCACTTTCAGTTATGAAAAATTTCAATCTAGTCATATTATAAGACGATTGGGGAAATGTGCATATTAACTGGATATTTGATGGTAGTAAGAAATTATTGCTATATATTTTTTTAGATTTGATGACATTAGTATGGTTATGTTTTTAAAAATAGGAGTCCCTGGGGCTGGCTTGGTGGAGTAGTGGTTAAGTTCACACGTTCTGCTTTGGCAGCCCAGGGTTTGCGAGTTCGGATCCTGGGTGCAGACCTACATACCGCTCATCAAGCCATACTGTGGCGGTGTCCCACATACAAAAATAGAGGAAGATTGGCACAGATGTTAGCTCAGGGCCAATCTTCTTTGCCAAAAAAAAAAAAAATTAGGAGTCCCTATCTTTTAGAGATACATAATGAAATATTTATGGGTAAAATGATCTCATGTCTGGAATTTCCTTTAAAATAATCCATGGTGGGTTGGGAAGTCAGTGGGGATATAGATGAAACAAAATTGGCCATTAGTTGATAATGTTTGCAGAGGGGTGATAGATCCAGGGGCTCATTATACTGTTCTTTCTACTTTTGTGTATTTTTGTTTTTTTTTTAATTTTTATTTATTTTATTTTATTTTATTTTTCCCCCAAAGCCCCAGTAGATAGTTGTATGTCATAGCTGCACATCCTTCTAGTTGCTGTATG